ACTCCAGCAGTTTCCAATTTGCTGCTTTCCATCTGTGCTGAGGTGATTAGACACCGGAGTACTCATCACTCTGCTTTGTGCCATGTCACATTACATCTTCTCCACACTATTTTTAAGCAGGCTCAACGTCCAACGCAAAATCAGTGCCAGGCTTCTCCCATCAGGACACCTGCAATCAATTTCAGGTTGCTGACAAAGACGAGGCCCTGCCGTTCCTACCTACCTCGCCTGGCTGCAGAGCAAAAAAAGTAGAGCAGATGGCATGCAGGGAGTGGGAAGCAGGGCATGCCTGGCAGTAGACAGGTCATCTAAGGGCATCCACACGTCTCTCCCAACACCACTCAGGGAGCCCAGTTTGAAATAGGTTTCCTCCCTTGGGTAACATTAATGAGGACCATCAAGCAGCATGTTCTTTGTCAAGGATTGGTCATAAAATCATGCAAATGCTATGCAGAACAGGTGAAAATCCACACTGGTTCCCCTAGTCCAACATCCTCTTGATACAATTGCTAGTTAGGTGATGTCTCGAGGAAGCTAGCAAGGAGATCTTGAATACGGATGAGCCTCCATGCTTTTGTCTCCTCTCCTGTCTCCAGACAGTATATTAAATGACGTGCTGCTACTATCAGTTTTTAGCCTGGCTACACAATGGAATCGTTAACCTAGATTGCTTTTAGAATGCAAAAATCCATAATTTTATTAACTAAGTTTGTCCTGGGGTATGCTCAATTCACTTGTAGTATGCGTGAAGAGCCCCGTGTTTGGCGCTAAACAATAAAATTTTCTGTCTTTCCCCATGATTCTGAAGAAGACTGGGATTTCTGCTCTAAATCAGGGGTGGGCAACTATGATAATCGTGCCAGCTTAGGAATTCTGGGAGTTGAAGTCCATAGGTCATAAAGTTGCCATAGCTGCACATCCCTGCTCTGAATGGACACTTCGATCTTTGAGAAGCAGAGACCTAATGTATATTTCTACCTTTTGTTCCAAGATGGCAGGTGGAAGTTTGGGCACAATTATCTCTCTAGGTCTTAGGCTGTTTTGACCTTTCAAAGTCTGATCTAAAGCTGGGGGGGGGAGAAGGACCAACACATGAACATCTGGATCACTTCAAAGCCAGGTAAACTTGATAGTTATTTATGATCTTCCTGACCAAAAGAGTCTATTATATCCCAATGGATATATGCAACCTGTTTTGTTTGCCTAAGGTTCCAGATTGAATTCTATCTGCAGGAAAGTGGGAAGAGTTCCTTTGAAATTCTGGAAAGATGGCACTCATCAGTGTCAGTAGTACTAGGTGAGATAACCCCAGGAATTGGACTCCTATGTTTTCTCCCAGTCTTCAGTATAAACATGCTATTTAGGCTAGAGAAAGCTACACAATGTACCATAAACTAGATTAAATGAACATTTCCTTTATCATACTAAAATGCTCTATAAGTTCATATAGTCTGCCACATACTAATCTTTATTCTCCCCTATCTCTATCTAAAATTTCTTTTCCCTGCTTTTGTATTCTTCTTAGACTCTTCTTCTTATATATACTTTCATTTTTAAATATTTTACCCTTTAAAGTTATTATTGCCAAGACCTTGATGTTATATTTTTTAATTGTGTCTACCCTGCCCTTTTTATGCTGCTCTATGACAATGATAAATATTTGATTTAATTTGATGTATCACTTAGCCTGGAGAAAGTTACATCTTCAGGACCCACACTGAACTTCTTTGGGGTGGCTTCATTCAACTGAAAATCCCTGCCTTGGAGCAGATCTGTGAACCAAAGTGGCATTTTCACTTTTTTTAAAATTTTTCAGATTGGAGTCGCTGCCTCACCCTGCGTTGGCATCTCTGGCCTTGCCATGGCTTTCTGAACATGTGCAGATGCCACCTGCCTTGAAGCAAGCAATGGAAGAGGGCAACATTCATCCACCACCCTCTGATGCTTCCTTCAGAATGGAAGCTTTGCCCTTGGACCCAGCAATAAATCATTGACAGGCTGACACTTCATCCTTAGCTCAGTTTCTCAACTTGACCTGGCAGAAGAATCATTGAAAGCTAAGCTACATTAGGGCCTTTATGGCAGGCAAGAAGGAAGCTGCATTCACAACAGTTAAAAGCCTACAGCCAGAGAAAGATGCCAAGAACTGTTATATATCCTCAAGGGTTTAAACTGGAAGCTTCTTTCTTTGGTACTTCTGAACTAATCATATTTGGTGGAGAACTAGGTAGCCCTGAAGGCAAAAAACTGTGGCAGGTTGACAGAACTGCATCTCTAGCTCAAGAACTGCTGGGTTTTTTGCTTTGCCAGCCTCAATCTGTACGGTGAGCACCGAGGCAGATCATGTCACCTCTGAGATTTGGAGCAAAGCTCCAAGGCATATATTACCCAGTTGGCCAAAGTCTGATCTTTGGAAATGCCTATAGACTTCTGTCAACGGACTGCTTTACGTTCTGTTGATGGAAAAAGGGGAGGCGGGTGGGAGGGAATCAATAAGGCAGTTCTGGAGAATATAATTTATAGCATGTCACACAACAGACCACTCTCCATTCCACCTTTTTGACTGTTGGAATGGGGGGGGGAGGCTGGAATGAAGAAGAGGAAGGGTAAGAAAGGCACAGCATAATTAAGACCTGTCTTTTGATTTCCAAAATTGGAGATTCTTGCACTAAAGAGTTGCTCTACCTTATTTTTAGGGTGGCTTGAGAATGTCTTTCAAATTCATTTGGATGGTGTTTTTAAATTCCCCTTGTTGTTGGAGGTACTAGAAGATTCTATTTCGCATAGTCTCATCATTTGCTGCCCTCACTTGCCAGTTTGAGAAACAATTTTTACAGGATGCTTTTCTTTGAAAATTGAAGTCAAAAAGACTACAAATGGCTGAAGAGAGAAGACACTGTAGTGAAAGTACACTCACATATATTCTCTTCCCACCCAAAATTATTTTATTCAGCCTCTATTCATGATTGCCAGTGTAACTTTTAAAAATATTTGTATCCTTTTTTTATTACTTTTTAAGTAATTTAAGATGCAAGCATACTTATTACTCCTTCCTTCTCCTATTTTCCATACAAAATCCCTGGGAGGTAAATTGGGCTGAGATATTGTAACTTGCCTAAAGTCACCCAGCCAGATTTCATGCCTAAAGAGGATCTAGAATTCCAAGTTTCCTGGTGATTGACCCAAAATCACCCAGCCAGCTTTCATGCCTAAGGTGGGACTAGAACTAATTTCTAGCCTAGTGCCTTTCTTTACTGATCAACCAGTAGACCAGCTTTGTTCTTATGTTTCGAAACTGAATCCCCTTTAATAAAACTGAATGAGAACAGATAGTAAAATTAAATAATGTGATCATTTTTCTGAATGAATGAATGAATGAATGAGATAAATGGAAAAAAAAGAGGAAAGATTTGACTGATGATTTAAATGCAGATGCAAGTGTTGTGTTTCTGCATTTACTCATATAAGTTACTTATACATCAGTTTTAGATATATCTATGACAGCATTTTTGATTCCTATCCATTTTATGTAATGATCTTTTGAAACAATATATGTCATAGCTTTTTTAAAAAATAAAAAAAAAGAAATTGATATTTTCTCAGCTGCAGGTGCAATTACATTGTCTGATGCAATGTTCTGGAAATTCAAATTAGTTTGATCATTTATTCATTCATTCGTATTAAACAATTATTTTGGAACAGCCCAATACTTAAGAAAATCACAAAGGCTAGACTGTTCAGAAAGACTGGTTGATGCCTGGTGGAATTCTTCATTGCAGTTGGTGATTATTTTTATTTTTATTTTATACTTTATGAATTGCAAGTGACTTAGAGCCTTTGGGAGGGGATTAAAAAGCATATATTGTAAGGAAACAATAATGAAAAGAAATTAAATGATTGTTGCACTCACAGATTTTGGACAGTTTTGATCTGAGATTTTGCAAGATATGAGATGACTAGAATTCATAAAAGCTCTTGGAATTACTGCACCTCTTGAAGCTGACATCTCATGAAAAGTTACCTTAAATTTTCTATACCACTCAAAATGGCAAAATAGTTGGCAAAGATGAGGAACTTGTGGAGATGGCTAAGTTAACTTATTTGATTAGGGGGAAAAACAGTATTTACATTTATCATTGACTAAAAATTCTTGTCTGCATAAAATGGAACAAAATGCATTTACAATTTCTGATTCTGCTTTTTTTGCTTTTGGTAATCATAGTGAGAGATAACTTTATAATTGTATTTATATTTGCTGCAAATATTGCAGATTTGAGATCTGAAGTTTTGTTCTATTTCTCTTTATTTTTCTTTGTGAGCTTTAATTTTATCTTCCTTTCCTGCTTTTACTCTATTATTATTATTTTGTTAATTAGGATCTGGGTTTCTGTGTAATCAAAGACTATGGGGAAACCTAAGAAGGATAATGGGATAGGTGAGGATTATAAGGGTACAATTTTGTGCACCGCAGTCCGCTATCATTTTTAGGAGATTGCTTTGCACATAGGAACAGTGTGCGAAGTCCATGTTGAGGCATAAAGGTAAAGGTTCCCCTCGCACATATGTGCCAATCATTCCCAATTCTAGGGGGTGGTGCTCATCTCTATTTCAAAGCCGAAGAGCCAGCACTGTCCGAAGACATCTCCGTGGTCATGTGGCTGGCATGACTAAATGCTGAAGGTGCACGGAGCACTGTTACCTTCCCACCAAAGGTGGTCCCTATTTTTCTACTTGCATTTTTACATGCTTTCAAATTGCTAGGTTGGCAGAAGCTGGGACAAGTAACGGGAGCTCACTCCGTTATGCGGTGCTAGGGATTTGAACCGCTGAACTGCAGACCTTCTGATTGACAAGCTCAGCATCTTAGCCACTGAGCCATCACGTTCCCCATGTTGAGGCATGCTCCCCCCCTTATAGTACCTTTGAAGTAAAACCTATGATATATATAGGGATGAAGTTCCGGGAGAATGGCAGAGTGAATAAAATAGATGTTTGCTTACCTCTAAACCCATTTCCATTGCCAGTGGAGCACGCTGGGGAAGGGGACCCCTGGGGTCGGATGACAGGAGCAAAGGCACTCTTTTGTTTGACAGCAGGAAAGACAGAGGAGGAGAATGGAAGGATGGAGGAACTGCTTGAAGAACCAACTGTGGGACTTGAAGACATCACTGAGAGGGAGGAGATATCAACTTGGGTTAGAACAAGGAGGGGCTTGGAAAGGCAAACAATCACAAATTTGCACAATCGGATCACCCTTAAGAAGCATCTACTGAGACTTCCATAAATTCAATAGATTCAATAAGTCTCTTTGGGTCGTAAACATTCAATTTCATTGATTGGTTGATTGGTTGATTCATTCATTCATTGATTCATTTATTCATTCATTCAAAGCAAATAGTTGTCCCACAACAGATCTTTAATTCCAAAGATGCTACTGAGCCCCATATGATATTTCTAGAACATTTTTAAAATGTCAGCTGACTGCTTAAAATTGTATCTCCCAGCCCAGCAAAAGAAACAATGGTGAGTAGTAAAAAGTATCTTGTAAGGACAAGATAATAGTGAGGCAAAGAACAGTGGAACTGTAGCTAGGAGGAGGCAGTAAATAATAAAAAGAGTATATCCATGCACGTGCATGTAATTTTAGCTATATTTAACTATGTTTGTATAACTGGTATTTTTCATGCATTGTGGGCACATGTATATGATATGCCTCTTAGAGTTTCAGTCTCAAGTTTGCCATGTTCTTGATCATGTATTTCTTCTTAAATCCCTTATCTTTAAAAGATTGGAGAGTTTTGAAATGCAAACTGATTTTGAATATTAAAATACATAGAGGAAGCCAAATCCTACAGAATTTGGTGCTCAGTTATATTACTAATTGATTGGGTAATATGCTACTACAAAATGTGGCTTGCTTCTTTGAAACTTAGTGTGATTTGTGAATCAGTCATTGTGATGACTGGGATGTATTAGCCAAATCTAATTATTTTTCAAACTTCAGGAGGTGACTGAGCTTGTCTGGGCTGAAAGCTAAGTGGGATCATACCTGGCCATTATTTAGAGGGGAAAACCCCAGGAAATATTAGGATGATTAGTCAAACCAGTTCCATAAAGTCCAACTTTAAAATGATTGGACTACCAGAAGTCTCCAGTCAGCCTGGGAATTCTGAAAATTGAAGTCCCCCCATTTTAAGAAACTTAAGAAGTCAGACTGTGATGCTAGGGTGGGGGGGAACCCTTAGAACAACATAATGGCAAAATACTTTGGAGATACTGCTGAGAACATTACACAGACATTTCCATGACGTCCCCTACAACCAAAATCAACTCAAAGGTAACTTCATCTTGTTTAATACATTTATAAACATGGTGAATAACAAATGTTTTATTTACAACTGTGGCCCAGCCACCGTTAAAATGAACATTTAAGCTAAAACGATAGAAAAATTACAAGAATACTGTAGAATATATATCATTAAGTATTTATCTATGTTCTATATCAGTCTTGACTTCAGGCAATTCTATGGACAAGTCTTTGTAGTTTTCCTGCCAACATTTTCAGAAGTGGTTCAGAAATATTTTCATTTTTTTTCTTAGGACTGAGAGATCAGGACTAGCCCCAAAGACAGTCAGCTGGATTCTGTGTCTAAGGAGGCTACGACTTTTAGTCCTGTATCTTAACCATTAAATTTAGTTTTATATATTTACAATCATCATATAAATAATATTTAGACAAGTAAAACATTCTGGTTGAGGCACCAGATTGGAAAGCAGGAGACAATGAAATTCTAGTCCCACCTTAGCCATGAGAGCCCATTGGGTGACCTTGGTCCAGTCCTTTTCTCTCAGCCCAACTCACCTCACAGGATTGTTGGGTTGGGGAAATTAAGAGGAGGAAGATGTGTTGGGTATGTTCACCACCTTGAGTTATTTGTAAAAATAATAAAGGTGGAATACAAATAAATAAATAACCTGACACCTGCATTCTGATTTTATTAATCACAACAGGATAAACCTACCATCTCATTTTACTAACACTCATTCCCCGCATCTAGTCACAACGGCTTCCACCAATCAGTCTGGATCAGGGATGTCAAACTCAAGGCTCGGAGGCCGGATACGGCCCACGGGGTGCTTACATATGGCCTGTAGGGCCACCCTGGAGACAGCAAAGGACCAGCCCGTAGTGCCTCTGCCGGCAAAAATGGAGCTTGGGAGGGCCGCCTGGCAGGGGTGGGTTGCTGCCATTACTGCCAGATTGGTGTGCTTGCACTTTTGCAGTTGCCTGTAAATAGGTCTGCAGAAGATTAAAAATGCCAAAAAAACATGCCGTGGCAACTGGGGAATCAGTTTGTGGGCATGGCGAGCCTGCCGTCCTTACCGATTCAATGACCCAGTTGCAATTTTCACTACTAGTTCACCCAAACTGGTGTGAGCCGGTAGCAACCTGGCTCTGCAGCTCGAGCTCCATTTTTGCTGGCAGAAGGTTGCAGGAAGACATTGCAGCCAAAATCAGAGCTCAGGAGCCTGTTTTCGCAGGCAGAGTAGCCAGGCCACCCCAGGTGCTCCTGACACAAGTGACATCAAGGTGGCCATTCCCCCCTTCCCCCACAGGTCTAACACAACCCCGATGTAGCCCTCAATGAAACTGAGTTTGACACCCCTGGTCTAGATTATTAAATAAGTAGCTTTCAAATCTCTTTTAAAACATACAAAAGTGGGTGGAACCAGACAAGAAACTAGAAGAGAATCCCATAATCAGGAACCAGGATTTGAAATGTAAACTATCTGAATAGAGAAGCTCATGAACAGGGAAGGGAAAGAATCCTTGTTCCTATTAGTCATGTACCATAAACAGGATCGTGTCAAGGCAGGATAGGTGAGGGCAAAGGGCTAACCAAGGTTAGCTGAGCCAGGGTAAATTTCTGTGAAGGGAGGAAACATGGCAAAATGAGGAGGTCCACAATGTTTTGAAATACAAAATAGTCAGTATTTCTAAACAAATATTTTCAAGCAGCCTCATGCATTCTACATGAGCTGATTACGTTTGCCATCATCTCCATAGGGAACAGTGAGAAATGTGGTCTGATAAATCTGGACCAAATTTAAAATGAGCAAACAAATTTCTGGGACTTTAAGGGGAATAAGACTGAACAATTCTGGCTTATAAACATCAGGCATTTTTGCCTCCCCTTTATTACATACGACTGCCTTGTATACTACCGAACTTTGACCTCCCGGTTGTGGACTTTTCTTTGGGGCAGAGCAGAAGGAGAAGAGTGGAGCCCCCCATTAGGGTGTGACCCCCCCCCTCAGGAGAGGGCGGTCGATTACGTTGGACTATTACGAACTCAATACTATCTTGAACCTGCGCAACCCTATCTTTTTCTAATTTTTAACTGGTATGTAATAAAGGGGAGGCAAAAATGCCTGATGTTTATAAGCCAGAATTGTTCAGTCTTATTCCCCTTAAAGTCCCAGAAATTTGTTTGCTCATTTTAAATTTGGTCCAGAT